CATGTCTTATCAAGGGTGTTCAAAAATAATTGAACCCATCTGTGTGGACTATTACGTAAAGGAGACAGTTATTTGTGGTTCAGGATACAACTGTGGTGACCCACAGATTTACGTAAGTGAACTATTCACTGATACTATTGTGATAAGAGTAGAGGAAAATATTTCGTCTTGTCAGTTGGATTCTAAAGTAGTTGAATCAGCTTGTGTGGACTCTTGACAAGAAAAAAGAATCATTTAGAGTTTTATATAAAACTGTGATTTCCTATAGTGTAAAAAATTTTTGTACATACGTTTGACTTGTTTTAAATATATATTATTTTAAAACAAGTGGATTGTGTGCTACCCATTTATTGTCCAAATGTATCGCCAACAAGTCACAGACACCTACTGTAGAAGAATCCCAGCCCACTCATATTTAAAAACCTGACAGTCGTAGAAATCAGTTCTACAGCTTGTTACAAAGAAACCTAGACTACAGATAGTGAGTGGTGATGCTGAGTCTTTGGCTCAATTTAAAGTTAAGCAGCCGAGTCTTGGAACTAGTAATGTTGATGGTCAAACCCTAATGCTGTAACTTCTCACTCTCTTCATCGACTTCGGTTAAATACCAGAAGAAATGGGAAAAGAAATATGAATGGCTATTTTTGATACATTCCTTGAAGAGTACTGCCGAGAATTTTTGAAAAATTATTTAACTGCGCTACATAGAACAGGTGGTGTTTCCATAACAACTCCACTTACCAACTTTAGAAAAGCAACTGGAAATACCGGGAAGCTCTACAAACATTTTGAATCCACGAAACATGCTCATTCTCAATCAATGCATAAGCTTCGTGACAAAGGTCTTAAAATATTGGTTCATACTTTACTTATTCAACAGTCAACACTAATTAGTTATTGTAACAACAGAAAACACGAGTATCATATTTAATGGCACTCCTAAGTCCATACACTAAGCTAATAAAGCAAAATAATCTCTATATTAAAAGTATTATGATAAAAGTAATAATAAAACTAGATAGATGAAACATTCTAACCAGTAATACTAACGAAAATAATATTCAAAAAGAGTAGAGTATACTTACAGAGCACAAACACTAGTTATTAGCTTTAAATAATGTCGTAGATTCAACGTTCATTGAAAAAGTAACAATCTTTTAAATTCAGTCCCAAAACCACTCGTCAGAAACTTCCTCCGAAGGTCCAGGTGGTGAGGGCGCTCGACTCACATTCTGCGGGTCTCGGGTTCGAATCCATGGTCCACCAAACATGCTCGCCCTTTCAGCCGTGGGGCATTATAATGTGACGGTCAATCCCACTATTCGTTGGTGAAAAAGTAGCCCAATAGTTGGCAGGGGCTGATGATGACTAGCTTCCTTCCCTCTAGTCTATCACTGCCAAATTAGGGATAGTTAGTGAAGATAGCCCTAGAGTAACTTTGTATGAAATTCAAAACAAACCAAAGATCATATACTTTGACATTGTTCCCGAACAGGCCATTTAATCGACTCCAATCGCCTTACGAATCACACCAAATGCTTTCTCTCGCTTCTGTCCGCATATACAACTTAAAATTATTGTGGCATCACATTTGATTTTTCATAATTAATAAAAATGTTGCCAGAACCACACAAAAATTCCGAATTGACCATTTAATAAACTCTGATCGCCTTAAAAAACACATCAACTGCTTTTCCGTACTTCTATCAATATAGAAACCATAAAATTATCATGTTTTCATAATTGATAAACATGTTGCCGGAAACACACACAAAA